ACCAGAAAAAGAAAGCTTTCTGGTTGTTATTCACATCTTCCTCAAAAATTAATTTAGGAATCATGGTATGCCTGAGAAACTTTTTTCTTTAATGGATTTGCATATATATTTCATATAAAATATATTTGACATGGCATCAAATCACAAATTGTTACAGATTTGCTTCGTAGCAAGAGTGGTAAATACACTTATTTTTGAAACAGTCACTCATGTTACCAAAAAATCTCTAATTTTAAATAATCTCTGGTTTTGTTTTTTTGTGTGTGTGTATTACTCTCTCAGGAAAGTAATGCAGCATAACATTTAATGTATTACTTTTTCCTTTAATAAACTAAAATTGTATCCTTTATACTAGAGACAGTTTTAAAAACTAGAAAAATTAAAATGATAATAAAAACAGCAATAAATATAATTCTATAATGTGTTATTTATATGAATACTATTTAAGTGGTATTAATAATGATTACATTTATGTTTGCTCAGTTATCTTATGGATATGTTAAATTAAAACATTTAAAAATATTTTTAAATCATATTTAGAAAAGGAATATTTCTGAAGTGATTCATGTTAATATTTAGTAATTTATTTCTCTAGCACATCACTCTCTGCTACCTATGAGCATTTTATACTTTGAAGAAAAAAAGCTTTTTGTATGTATTATATAACTGGAGTACAAATAAATAAAATAATTAGAGTACAAATAAAATAAATTCCACTTTACATACCAGTTCTAAAATACATCATATATCACTTTATTGAGATTTGTGTTTGGGCGTTTATTGAGAAGAAATTATATTTTATCAAAGAGAGTGTATGAAACAGAAAAATGTTAAACATTTAGAAGATCTTTCAAATATACAAGTAGTATCTGTAGTGCACATGCGTATGTATTACTTTTATTTATTTAAAATAAAAATTAGATAGGGGCGCCTGGGTGGCGCAGTCGGTTAAGCGTCCGACTTCAGCCAGGTCACGATCTCGGTCCGGGAGTTCGAGCCCCGCGTCAGGCTCTGGGCTGATGGCTCAGAGCCTGGAGCCTGTTTCCGATTCTGTGTCTCCCTCTCTCTCTGCCCCTCGCCCGTTCATGCTCTGTCTCTCTCTGTCCCAAAGATAAATAAACGTTGAAAAAAAAAATTAAAAAAAAAAAAATAAAATAAAAATTAGATATAATTATCAAGAAATACTAACCTTTTAAATTAGTGAATAGGAAATTTTAGACTCAAAATATATATGTACATGATTGCATTAATTATTTATTTTTGTTGTCAATTACGCATTGTACTCTTCTTTCTAAATTTGATCAAGAAAATGAAACAATAATCTTTTTATCATTAGTTACATGGTCAGATCTTGTAATCATATCTGGGCTATTTACCAAAAAGATAAATAAATAACAGTAAAGAAGGGAAATGGGTAAAAATACTTTATTGGAAAAAGACTTGAGACCTGGGATATAGAAGAATTTTTACCACCTTGCCATTAAACTTCTTGTTTTCCCTAAAATAATTAGCAAATTTGAAGTTATGTGAAATGTCATTTGTCACTCAAATTCATTTTTACACTTCATTTTTATTAGTTATACAAGTTATGCACTTACTTATGGCAGACTACAAGTAGAAAATCCAGAATGCACAACCAACATTTCCCTTAGTTGGTGAATGGTTAAATAAATCATTGTACATCTGGGCAATGGAATTCAGACTAAAAAGGAATGAGTTATCAAGTCATTTAAAGATATGGAGAAAACTTAAATTCATATTACTAAGTAAAAGAAGCCAATATGAAAAGGCTACATGCTGTATGATTCCAAACACATGACATTCTGGAAAAGGGAAAACTGTGAAGATGGGGAAAAGTCAGTGGTTGGGAGTGGGAGAGGGATGAATACAAAGAGCACAGAGAATTTATAGGGCAATGAAAATACTCAGTAGAATGTCATAATGATCAATATATGCCATTATATATTTGTCCAAGCCAATAGAATGTACAACACAGATGAACTATAAGGTAAACTCTGGACTTTGGATGATAATGATCAATCTGTGTCGGTTCATTAGTTGTGGCTACTCTGGTGGGGGCTTATGACAATGAGGGAGGCTATGCATGAGTAGGGAAAAGGAGCATATGGGAAATCTCTGTACTTTCCCTTCAAGTTTGTTGTGAATCTAAAACTACTCTAAAAAATAGTCATTAAAAAAATCCAGGAACCCTGGGTAATTTTGGACCATAGTGTAATGCCTAAATCTTAAACCAAAGTTAATTTTTATATTGAAAATCAATAGAAAGGACTGATAAAATGTGGTAAAAATAAAATGAGGGAATTAGATGAAAATAATCAAAACTAATACTTATTTCCAGAATTATAATTTTGATACCTTTCATGAGACCTTATTTAGCTTCTTCACAATTACAAGGGTATGGATTATGCTAATCATCACCTAAAACTAAATTTTTTAGAAAATATATTGTGAAGAACATTGCCTAAAAATGGCCAATTTTTATTTAGAAAATATTTTAAGGAATAGCTGCAAAATACTATAATAATGTAAGTGTCTACTGATTTTCAATTTATGCACCATAAGATTTATGATTATTATCCTGATTAGTTTCAGTTTATATTTATACCTGTCAGCTCCACTTCCCAAGCTCTCATTTGCTCCTGAATTCACACAAATAAAATACCTCTTTATGCTTCTATAGTAACTCTTGTTAAGAAGAACCCAAGGACCGTCACTTTGTAAAATTCCAAATTCACTCTCTATATTTTCTCATTTTACAGAGTTTCTTAGCAGTTTTTGTCTAGGTTGAAAATTGTATATTTTTAATTATTTTACTCTTAATTCTGTATTGTGCCACTCTAATGGAATTTTTGAATTGTCTTCATTCCTATTATCCTCAATGAATATTCAAAAATCTAGTGTGCTAAGAACCTGATGCTTTCATACAATGGAAATTATTAATAGCTATTAGGTATTTATTAGAGTGTTGTGTTATCTATTATATTTAAGTATTATGTGACATCTATTAGCTTACTGATTCTTATTGAGTAAACTTTCAATATACTGGACATAGGAGATCCTTATAATAATGCCATGCTTTTTACAAAGTAGTAGTCAATATATTATTATTGGATTGAATGGATTCAGCTGCAAAATTGTATGGTTAACTCCTTACTACCATTTCATACTAGATTTTATCTACAGGGGTGTGGCTTATTTAGCACATAATTTTGCAAAATTTTTTTGTTTCTCTTTTGTTGTATAGAAACCTTGATGTACTATGGGTAGACTTTTTAAAAAAATATATAACTACATCATATCCATATTACCCTATTTTCCAGGAAACGCATTTGGAGAATTAAGCTAGGTGATATAGTAACTGCCACCAACTAAAATCTTTCATTTGCAAAAGCTATTTCATCATTGATCATAAACGTACCTAGGGGCACCTGGGTGGTTCAGTCAGTTGAGTGTCTGACTTCAGCTCAGGTCATGATCTCATGATCATGGGTGGGAGCCCCTCATCGGGCTTTGTGCTGACAATGCAGAGGCTTGCTTGGGATTCTGTGTCTCCCTGTCTCTCTGCCCCTTCTCCACGCATGTGCACATGTGCACTCTCTCTCTCTCTCTCTCTCAAAAATAAACAAACATTAAAAAAAGAATATTTAAAAATATCTAAAATTAATGCAGAAATAGAAATTAATATCTGAATTATATTATTGTATATAAGGACGGTTATTTTACTGAGTTTTCTTTAGTCACATATATACCAAATTAAATTATTCTGAAACTTTTAGTAATTTTCAACTCAGTGCCATATTCTATATATACAAGAAACTATTGTAAAATTATTGGGGGGAAAACTAAGATGGAGTCATTCAATGTTAAATGTAAAACTATGTTTCTGTTCATATTTCATTTTACCTACTGTTGTAGATATTTCACTATTTTGATCTGTTCACATCAAATCACAGTGAAAAAAAATTCATTCCTCTACAGTAAATCTCATTAAGTAAAACGGGATAAATTTCACACAGGCATAGAATAATACAATTGGATGTGCATTGATGTTTTGGAGTTTCTAATGGAAATTTGTTTTAAGCAGGTTGCAATAATCCAATTTCATTTTGACAAGTTACTGCTAAATGTCACTCAGGGATATTTTAAAATATTTTTTCAACTTCAGGAATAAAATTTTAAAGTTAAAAAAGGATAATATATATCTTTTATGTCAAAACCATTTGTTCTAAAATTGAGAAAACTGTTTCACAGAGGGAATAAGTAATGTGCTTAGTCACATAGCTAATGGAGATGTGAAATTGAAAAATAATTATTTGATGTGACTGTATTTTATTTTATTATTTTTTTTTAATTTTTTTTTCAACGTTTATTTATTTTTGGGACAGAGAGAGACAGAGCATGAACGGGCGAGGGGCAGAGAGAGAGGGAGACACAGAATCGGAAACAGGCTCCAGGCTCCGAGCCATCAGCCCAGAGCCTGACGCGGGGCTCGAACTCCCGGACCGAGATCATGACCTGGCTGAAGTCGGACGCTCAACCGACTGCGCCACCCAGGTGCCCCAAGATGTGACTGTATTTTAATGTGTATTGCTTTGCACCAAGGAAACCATATAAAGAGGAGTTTAGGAGTGGAGATGAGTCTTTTAAATAAAAGGTTAAAGGAACTTTTCCAGAAAGGAATCAAAACTTAGAGATTATTTCTTTATATTCTTCCTGAGTCTCTACTCCAAGTACTTTGTCATTAGATTCTTGTATATCTCTCAATGTAAGATTAAAGGACACCATGTTTTCCTGGTAATGACTGAATGAGTAATGGCTCTGGGTTTTCTTACTAATCATTGTAGATGGTTCTGAGCTCATTGCCTCATAGAAGGAGTTCCAGGATTATTTGGTGGAGCTGAAGGGATATTACTGTAAATTCTCTTTAGAAAGTTTTAAGAGAATATCCTCAAGATCTTTTTAACTCCCTATAGGCTTAGATTATGTTTAAGAAGTAAAAGAACTTTTGAAAATAATACGTGGGCAGCATTTCAGAATTGATATATGTTAAGGACGCTAAGAAGTACACTTTAAGAGCGGCTAACAAACCCAGATTAAAAATCAATAAAATCCTCAGAAAATTCCTATATAAGTTAAAAAGCAAGTTCATAAAGTCATTCATAAGAATATGTTAAATGTTTTTTCTTAAGATCTATGCCATGTGAAAGAAAATAACGATGAATAAATAAGATGAATTCTTAGCACTAGTAATCATCCATTCCAAATGAATTGGGTCTTTAGTATCTGATATTTTATATACTAGTTGCCCAGTAGTAAATAAGACACAGCCCTGCTCCAATTATTTCAAAATATGTGGAGAAATGTATATTTAAAAGTTTATGTATTAAGGAATCTAATGAAGTAAAGTAGGTGGGTTATAAAGATGAAGAATAATAGAGAGGTAATTCTTTGGATGAGTTTTAAAGAAGCAGTATGAAGCAGTTTTCCTAGCATATAACGGGACAATAGAATGTCAGTGACAATGATGCAAAATGCACATTTGCACTTGACTGGTGGAAAGCATGGGGGATTCAGAACACTGCCAGGATAGATTCTGACATTTTTAACCTGAGCCCCCTTGTGGAGAGAGAGTTATGTAGATCTTTGCCTTCTAAATGCTAGGGAGGCCTGATAAAAGGTATGCAGATTTTAGTATAGTGACTGAAAATAAGATTTTTTGATATGCCAACAAGAAACCTGGATTGCAGAGATGATATAATTTTGTGAATAAAAAAGACTTTGATAAATTAAAAATCAAACACGTGGTTCAGTTATTAAAATTTAAAACTCTTTAGACTTCCATGACTTCCTAAGCCCTTTTCTTGGGCTGTTTACAATTCAAAGGCGCTACCATTTTATAACATCCTGTCTTTCTGCCAACTTCATTGTCCAGTCAGTTCCTCCACTGATCACAGGCTATTTGTATCCAATTTGCTTTCATTGGTCAAATCGTTAAACAGATTGTTGCCAGATAGTCCTGTCAAGTAGTGTCATAGAAGCCAGTTGCTGTGATGATCCCAGATGTCCCTTTCTAGAGCCAAGTATTATGCTTTTTGTGTGTTCGTTTCTGCAATACAATCATCATTTTACAAAGCTTGCTAAAATATATAGATATATTTTTTACTCAAAGATATAAATTTATCTTTTCTGTAAATGTCCCACATTGCTGTGTCTGCAATACAAATAAGCCATAATTCACATAATAAGCTCATAGAATAAATATTCTATCACTTACTGATCCCCTATTTCTTCCATCTTTTGCATTTATTTGGAACTCACTTCTGTAATTCAAGTGAACTGCTTGTATTAGAAAATTTTCACTTTTCATTTCTTTCTTTTCCAAAAAGGGACGATATTTCTTTACATTACATTGTTATGTCTTCAAGTTCAAAATAACAAACTGTCCATAAATAAGGAAGCATTTTTTAATAATGTGTATATCAAAAGGGAATCATTGCCAAATGTGTCAGATCATACTATAAACAAAACCATGATATCAACCAATTATCTGTAGATGGTTTCTAAGAAAATCTTTAAGAATACAGCAAGAAAACATTTGGACCTTCAAATAAAGCATTTTAAGCTGATTCCTGAATTTGACAATTAGAATTTTAATAAATTTTAAAAAATGTATTGTGCCTTATTCTAGAGAAAATATTTATAGAAGACTTTGGGTGACTGAGTTTTGAAAACATAATAATTTTAACTCTCCAATTAGCTTCATGGATAAAATTATACTGTAATACCCATTTACAAGGGAAAAATTAATCAACTGTTATCTGAAGTGCGCAGATGTAGGGGATAAGCTTAGGAATTCCCTGAGCTTGCACAGATGGGTTAATAAGTCATAAAGAAATAGAAAGCCACAGGATGAATGCATCCAAGATTAAGAAAACAAGATTAGGTTAAACAGGGCAAAGTCCCCGAGTATAGGACAAAGGCAAAGGAATAGGAAATCTCAGGATGAAACATCCAAGATTAGGTAAACAAGATTAGATATTCAGGGTGGAAGCCCGCCGGGGGGGGGGGGGGGGGGGGGG